GTTAGTTCTCGAGCTGACACCGTGAGAAAGTACAATCAACCCTCCAGGGAAGGCGCGAGGAATAAACGCCAGGGCGACGCCCCGCCCTCAAACCCGCCCATCAAGTCCACCCGGTTACCCCTCACATTGAAAGCTGGCAGCTGCCCTTCTGGCGCGCGGTGCAGCTCGCGGACCAGCTCCAGGGCCTTTTCGCAAAACATGGCGGACGAGTCCCGGTCCCGCAACCTTGTCAACGACCCGCTCTCACGGCAAGCGGCCAACGGGCTCACAGCCGCTGCCCTCTGGTCGTCGTTCCGGGTCCCACAGCTCCTGATTCCCGCCTTTAGCTTCTGCTTTGCGCTTTGGCGTCAAAAACGTCCAGCCAATAGGACGCGCTGCTGGGCCTCTCGTCCTACGGCGGCGGTGAAGGGACATTGATCTCCGCTGCGCAGCCGCACTACAAGAAGAATGGAGTGGTCCTTCCCTGGGTAGGTCCCCAGCATCTGGGAGAGAGTGGGCGGGCCTCGGTTTGAGCCTGTAAACTAAGCAAAGATTCTTTTCCAAGTTCCAGGCGGCTAACCAAGTAACTTTGCGCGCAGCACAACTCGAGATAAATGCATGTCCCACAACTTCCTTTTTCCATTGCATTCATTCATTTCCGTTTAGGTTCAAAGAGGAGCTTGAGAAGGCGGGCCCAGAAACTTGGTGTGCATTAACGTTATGACCTAGCGTTTCATTTGTTTAGTTTTGTAGTGTGGGTATTTTGTGTGATGGTATAGGGAAACCAACTTTTATTGGGTATCTCCTGTACGGTAGGGACTGTGACGTATTATTTCATTTAATTCTCAGAATTAATCCTCAAGTAGATATTAAGACTCTTGGTAGCGATTTGGAAACAGAAGTTAGATAACTTCCCCAAGGTCACACAGACCTTGTATTTAACCTTTCAACACAGTAACACCTTTGATTTTAAAGCAGTCATTTTAAAACACTGGTAAAAGAACTCTAGTCACAAGGTCTACAGAGAGGGAGAAATGCCTTAGACTAACACAAATTCACATAGCCATATTCTTGCTAACATGATTATGGAAATTTTCATAACTATATACAATCAAAGATGGGAATTACAGCTATAGAAAATTCATCTTATTT